AATCAAAGAGAGTCCCCCGTGACATCCCAGGTGTCACCAGCCCCTCTGGCTCTTGTTGCTATTCTTATTGGGATGTGAAAAATAAAAAACAGGTTGTCCCTACTCCCCCATTTCACCACTACCACCTCTGTTTTTCTCTTACAGTTGCATCACTGCCATGGGAGATGATGGGTCCATGATGTTTAAAAGGACCCTGTGGGTTCTCTGCCTTTTGGGGCAAATTCTGCTTCTCTGAGTTAAACCACAAATGCCAGCTGTCTTGCCCAGAGATTCTGGGTACATTTCATGCATTCATTAAGTCAAACTGGCTCTCAGGCCCTGGCTCTTACCTATGGTTGGATGAACTGATGTGGCACAAGCTATGGTCAGACATTTGAATGCAGTTCATGCGCAGTCCTCTTATTTCTCTCAGAAAAGATAGTTTACGGAATGGGGGAAAGCTTTCTGGCAGAACAATTTTGAGCACCAATCCGACAGATCTTCACACATGCCTCTGCTGAACTCACAGCCGGGTCAGCATGGGCTTTAAAGGCTGCAGGATCAGGGCCTTTGCTTCTTGTTCCCTTTCATCCAAGCTGTAACTCTCCTACAGCTATCAAACAGTTGAGATAAATCTATGACATTACAGGATGCTAATTTCCAAGGATTCCTCTTTTTTTTTCCTTTGAAGCATTTAGATTTTTCCTGTTCATAGCACACATGATGGAAAAACTAAAATTCCTTTGTTCTCTCTTTCATCTCTATGATGAAAGGCTAAGCAGGCCATGCTTTCCAGGCGAACCACTCTGAGCCCAGCCTCAACGGCAGGCAGGAGCTGGTCACCTGCATATCAGGGCTTGCTTTAAAAAATAAGTGATCTTAATTCCGGTGTTGGAAATGAAGAGGAGTTTGCTATTAGCTCTCATAATAATAATTTAGAAAATACATGCCCAATCACTTGTGTTCTCTCAGTTCTCTCTGAACACAGCTGCAAACTGCATTAGGTGCTAGGGTGAATGGATATATTTCAGATGAGATATTTGTACTGAATTATAAGGGTAGTCTGTATTACAAAATTACTAATAAACATTGCTTCTGGCTCAATTTAGCCTGAACTCAGTGAACCTAGCTAGTGGTGAGAAATCAAAAACTCCAAAATACCCGATGAATGAATCTAACTAATCAAGAAGCCCTGCAGGAAGTAGATGCCAGGATTAATGAGCCAGTGGTTTTACCATGCCATGCTGTTATTTCTTCACATAAATGCCCTCAGATGAGATTACCTTTGTCATGAAAAGGAGAAAAGGAAGGTTACATACTTTCAACTGACAGGTTAACTGCCATACCTCCATTACTGCAAGATACATTTTCATGTGCAGAGATTTTTATTCTGAAAAATGAAAGTTTAAAGACCACAACACAAATTAAACCACATTTTCATTTCTAGGAGCAGGGATCATTGCTGCTGGTACAATAATATAATCCGTGCTGCAATGTTATCTGATCCCTTGCCTTGCACAAACTTTCTTCCAATGTTGCTCAGTAAATGCAATCTCCAGCAGTGGGTAAGAGCAGATTCTGCCTTCCACGGGGATTTGAAGGATGGAAGAGAGGAGAGAGAGAGAGAGAGAGAGAGAGAGAGAGAGTTAAAGCATTTCATCAAGAGAGCAAATGAAAGTTTCAGTGGCATTATTGTTATGTATATTCCTTAGATATTAGGGGTGATGTTGTGTTTAGAGAGAAGTAAACCTATGTGCATATGTGCCAGTGTGGAAATGAATCTATATATATGAATGCAAATCTCAGTTTGCTTACACACTGGGTGGAATTGCTCAAAGCTAAAGCGCACCTTACGGCAAGCAAATAAGCACAGCTTGTAGGAGCCCCAGTGCCTGGTGTTAGCTACTTAGTCAATAATAGGCTAATTGTTATTCAGCATAAATGTTCTCTCTCAATTTATATGGAATTCACTCATTTATTTTGATCACTTTATGTGAATGAAGCAAAGCTGTTCATGTTGCTTGGTAGAACTGGTCAGTGTTGTTTAATTTTTATCTTCTAATGTCAGCGTGAGTGAGATTTTATAATCAAATCATTCACACACAACCTGTAACATGTATGAGCGAAACCTGTGGCCCTCTTCCTCTCATCCATGTTAAATACATAAGGGCATCAGCTTACAAGTTTTACGCTGCAAAACTTCAGCTGGTGCTACGTATAATTTCAAAAATCTCCAGGACTTAGAACATGAAGCTCTATTGCCATGGAAACGAATGTTGTATCAAAGTTGGGTAGGATCAAAAAGCTTTGCTCATAAACAGGACAACAGTTGCATTAGAATGTGGAGGAAATGATGGATGTTTTAGGAGCGAGCATTAAGCTGAAGGACCTTTGTAAGGTCCCTTCCATAGAGCTGCAGTGTTCATTGTCAAGAGTTGGATCTTACAGGTTGCGTCTCAATCCCCTGCCCCCAGCCAGAAAGAGTATTTTTCTCTAAGGTTAAAAAGCACATATTTTTTAAAGATCTTCCGTACCATACTTTATGACATTGCTACATAATAAAGCTGTCTTGCTTATAGCAATATAAAGCAGCTGTAAAAATTACATGCTTGTAAACAACCTTCTACACATCTGAAAGGAGAGAGATTTGCACTCCTCTGCATGTAAGTAGAGACATGTTTGTCCTCTCGGCAGGCCACAGCACAGGGGAGGGAGCACTGTGGGATTGGGAAGACCAAGGGAAGTTCCAGATGGGCCGCTGCTCCCCTTGGCCCACACAATGGCACCCATGAGATCGGGGAACTGGGGGTACTCTGACCAGCTCTGCTCTGTAGGTACCCTGTGCGTCCACATCTTTGGTGGCTGATCTAAACTGATCACGAATTTCAAACTCAGAGCTAAGCCTGGGTGCAGAGGGGCAACTGTTTCGTGCAAGACCGGGATGGGGAGTAGAGGGAGTGCTGGAAGGAGGTCCAGTTCACGGTGTCTTCTTACCCCAGGCTTTACCATGGTATGGATTGTGGTATGGGACCTGTCTTGCCTGGCCTGGCCTACCTCAGGATGAGCATCCTGGGCTGTTTCAGCATCCGCTCAAGCAGGCTCCCGCAGAAGGGTGCAGGACTGCTTCCTCAGGTAACCCCCAGTGTACTCATTCATGGCCTGGATCACCAATAATTTATTCTGCTTTTATTTCTATTTTAAATTAAATATGCATACATAATATGCACTCTGGAATGAGCAAGGACCCTTCTGCAGGTGCCTATGGAGCTGGGCACTCTCAGGTATGTAATTAAGAGGTGTGTAATTGATGTACAAGGAGAAGAGATCTCAGTGCATTGCATAAAAGAAAAAAAAAAAAGTGGGGAGGGAAGATAGGAAAAAAAAAAAAACAAAAAACAAAAACAAAAACAACCAAACCGGGCTGCAAGATGCTTACCAAAGTCCTGCACTTTTTCCTCCCCTGACAAAGTTTGCACGGGAATAAACCGAGGGTTTTCTCTTCCGTGGGATACGCCCCACCAGCAGCGGTTCACTCGTTTCAGAGCCGACAAAGCAGCCTGCAGTGAAGCGCCCCTCCGCTCCCGCTCCCGCTGCAATCCCAGCCCCTGGCCGCCGGCCCTGCCCGCCCGGCCCTGGGGCAGGTGCCCCCCGCTGCCCGCGCCCCCCTACCCCGTACCTCCCCGCCCCGGCCTCCTGCCACCCTGCTCCCGCTCGCTCCCCGCCTTGCTTCGCCGCGGAACTTCTTCTTGTATCTTGCAGTTTAAAGATCAATCACGCAGAAAGATTAACAAAAGTTTATTAGTCATGAAGTATTAAAATTGTGATAAATGAAAGGCTTCAATGCAAAATTCAAGCAAGCAAACTATCCCCAAACTTGTGACAAAGGACTTAGTTTATCCCACAGAAGGAAGAAGTCCTGTCTTTTTTTTTTTTTTTTTTTTTGCCTGCGGTTCAAGACACCTCTCATATCTCACACGCCACATCAAAATCCATAATTCTTCATATCACATACTGAAAATGATATTTATCCATTCACATTAACTTGATATAAACGTGTCCGGAAAAGTCAAGTATATATTTTATATTAGCTCAAACATTTATTAAGAAACCCAAAATGCAATAAATAAGCACAGACAATAAGTTAAAACATATCACGAATCGACCAGTATGTAACAAGAATGCTTTATCTACACAAAACATCCTATTTCACATCGTTTGTTCATTCCTCCAGCGGCCCTGCCCTGCGGCGGGGTGACCGGCACATGCAGGCGGGCGGGCCGCGGGGCCGGGCCGGGCCGGGCGGGGCGGGGGCCGCGGCGGCGCCTCCGCCGGCGGCAGCGGAAGATGCAGGAGGGACAATAGCAGCAGGAACGTAAATAAATGCGTAACTAAAGGTGGGGCGGATCGGCAACTCAACTGTCACGAAATAAAAGATCCGAAAAAGGGAAGTGCTCTTGCTTTTTTTTTTTTTTTTGCCTTTTTTTTTTTTTTTAACCCCGTGTGTTTTACGAAAAGAAACTTTTTAGGTTTGTTTTGTTTTGCTTAGTTTAGTTTAGTTTTATCCCCAATCGGTTTCGCGCTCTCTCCCTTCTAAATGCCTTATCAAAACGGATTTGTTTCTCTCTGGGGTCTCCGTACCGCTCCGCGAACCCGCCCGGTAGCACCCCGACGGCGCCCTCGCGGGGGAGAGCGCCGGCGGCAGATCGCTGCTCTTAAATAAACCATAAAAATCAAGAAAACAAAACCAAAATGCAAATTTCTTTGCAAAACCGGTCGGGCGGCCGGTGAGAGCGTCGGGTCGTGGCGAGGGAGGGAGGCAGGGCCGGGTGCGGAGACGCCCCGAGTCCTTCCGCCGCCGGGGAGAAGCGGCCGCCGGGCGGGCCGGGCCGGGCCGGGGCGGGGAGGTGCGCGGGGGCGGAGGGGGTGGGGGCGAGGGTCGGGGCAGTAGTAGGGGGTAGGGGGGTGTTTCTTGGCCCACAAACCAGTCCGTTGGTGTCTGATTTCAGATCCTGAGTCGACTCCCTGGTAAGTCAGGTGGGGGAAGGCGGGGGGCCGGGGCGGGTCGGGGCGGGCGGGGGCTGGGGGCTCGGCGGCGGCGGCGGCGGCGTTGACGCGGGGCTCGGCGTGCGGCCATTAGGTGAAGCTCATGGAGACTGTGTGCTCTAGTGCTTTGCGGCGGAGGGAGGCGATGCTGGTTCCCCGCCACACGTCGCTGCTGTCCGGCGAGCTGCAGAGCTGGGGCGACCCCGTCACGTTGCTGGGGCCGGGCAGGGAGGCGGGCACCATGCCGGGGAAGGCGGGCTGGTAGAGGTGCGACTGCAGCCCGGCGCCGTTGGAGCCCGCCAGGCTGTTGGAGAGGCCCATGGAGTTGGGCGGCGGCCCGGCCGCCAGGCTGCACTGGGAGAGGGACTGGGCCATGGCCTGCTGCCGGCCCAGCGCCGGCGGCAGCGGCAGCTGCGACACGCCCGGCATGGCGGCCGCGGCCCAGCGGGTGTCGTTGGCGTGGAAGGAGCAGAGGCTGTCGCCCATGGCGGCCGCGGCGGCCGCGGCGGCCGAGGGGAACTGCGGCAGCCCCGGCGTGGGCAGCAGCGTGCCCGGGGCGCGGAAGACGTTGGTGGTCTTCTTGCGCTTCTTCCACTTGGCTCGACGGTTCTGGAACCAGACCTGCCGGCGGCGGGCAGCGACACGCAACCGTTAGCCACCACCCACCCGCGGTGCGGCCGCCACGCGGCTCGCGGAAGCGGGACCCGCCACCCCCACCCCGCCCTGCGACCGGTCTCCCGCCCCCCGCCACCACCTCCCCCACCCGGCTCCTACCCCCCGGACGTTGTCTGTCCCGCGGCCGCTCTTGTCCCCCCCCCCCCCTCCCCCGCGTCCCCGCCACGGGTAAACGAAACCGGTGGAACTTTTTGTAACGAAACCGGTAGATGCGTCCGTCCCGGGACTGAGCCGCCTGCAGCCTCCTTCCCTCGGGGGGAGGCTCCTGGAGAGGTGCCTGGCGTCGCTCCCCACCCCACCCCCGGCAAAATAAGTATGAATGAATAAATAAATAAATAAATAAATAAATAACACACCCCCCCCAACCAAAACCATGCAATAACACGAAAAATAAGTGACCAGCTCACGGCTCTTGCCCTTGCGTGGAAGCGCCCGCGGGGCGCGGCGGGGCGGGGAGCCTTGCCCCGGGCCAGCCCACCCCCCGCGCCCGGCACCGCCCGGCTCCCGGGGCAGGAAACCTTCCCGCCAACCTGCCCGCATTTGTGGGCTTTGGTTTTGGTCTTTTTTTTTTTTTTTTTTTTTTTTTCTAGAAAGAACAAAGGTGGTTCGGGTAAGCGGGTGACCGCGGTGCCGTCAGGGATGAGGTGGGGGGTCTCGCCGCGCCGCTGCCGAAAGCAGCGGGGCAGCTGTTAGGGGGGAAGAGCGGGGTAGCGTGGTGCGCGGAGCTGCCGGGGCCCGGGGCTTCGCGCTGCGCACCCGGGCAGGGACAGACGGGCGCCCATTAGCGGGAATGAGCAGCCGTTAGGGAGCTAAATGCTATATGAATAATCGAAAAATCGCGTTCAATTATGTTTTAGGGTTAATAGCTAAATTGCGGCTACAAAATCTTTTTATGTTTCATGGTTTACTGGTGTTGTAAAGAATCTACATCGGGTCTGATCGCCTCAGCTCATAGCTACGCTGCATATGCTTTTAAAATGTGAATGTTTCCAGTTGAAAACCAGTGCATGACAGATTAAAACGCAGGGAAGACCTGGGGGAGATTTTGAAAATGCACACATGACAACTCTAGAAATATATTAACCACGAGCATTTGGCAACTTTGGACTCCTTCTAAAATGCAACTAGCCCCTGAAAATTATTAATACAACAGTGAGAATCTAATGGAGGTTGGAATCTAAAAATCTACCTTGATGATGTCTGCTGTTACAGTAATATAGACATACTGTAAATGTATTTTAAAATATATAGCCCATTTAATTACCCAGCTATAAATGGGTTAGAGAGAGAGAGAAGGGGAGACAATATCACTTTTGTTTTAATTCTTCTCTATTTTTTTTTTCCTCAGGAGCCGAAGCTTTATGAAGATCTCATTGGAATCCAGCGGATGATTAATGTGAAGATTTGGTAGGAAATCTGGAGAGCTGTATTAAAGCTCAGATCTCAGGTTCATTTCGATCAGCCAGCCGTGAACTCTGGGCCGAATTCATTACACTTTAATAGTGCTGGGAGAGGAAGAAAATGCAATTTCTCATTCCATTAGAAAACTAGAAAATACTCTCAGCTTGTCCCCTATTAAGATGTGGCAGGTGACGGGACCATTGTGGGGGACACGGTCAATGGAATTACAGCACATTATTTTTGTTCGTATAAAATATTGAAAGGCAAGCCTGACTGTGCAGAAGTTATTTCACTGATTTGGTTTTTATGTAAATAAAATATTGAAAGTTAATTAATCCGTGCTAGAGACTAATGATTATGCTTATTATATTGCATTTGATCGCGTAATTTGCATGATTCTCGCATTGCTGCTTAATAAGCCATTCCAGGTTATAAATAATTCTGAAATTGGTTTCTAATAATGGCATGCTATAAAAAGAATGGTTTTATTACAGCAGCCTGAAAAGCAGAGCAATATCAGACGTGGAATTGGACTCCCGTTTAAGCACCAGCCGCTTTAATAATTATTTAAATGTATCATATACATTAAATAGAGATCTAAAATGAGGAAAGTGGTGATTTATCCTAGCATCTAAAACCCTTAAAAACATATACAGCCGCTATAAATTAACTATTTGGAGCATTCCTTAATCAGTGTGGAGCCTACATAATGCAAGGAATGTGTAGGCAATCTGTTAACTATAAAGAAAACTGTAAAGTACTTGTATAAGAACATAAACCAATTACTATTTAATTTAAATTTGGTCAAGGAGCAGTGATACATCGGATTGTGAAGTAAATACATTAAATAAATTATTTTGCCTTAGATTACATAATGTTAATCATTTTGAAGTGTTAATTAAGAAGGTTATGTTGATCTGATTACTTTTTAAACTACAGAACATTATTGTAAAAAATATTTAAATTGCCACTCTATTAAACTGTTTTTATCAGCAGTCTCGAGCTATTAGCATTGGTTTAAGATTATGCCGAGGCCATTAAAACACTTTGTCTTTCTTCCTACGAATTTCTTTGATGTGCTGTTAGAAAATAACTATTTCCATTTTATATTTTATATTTTACTTCATTTACCACACTCCTAATATTGAAATTGGTATCATTAACCTTTGGGAAACCCAATAAAGTTTAATAGACCTCGTTTTCTTTTTTCATAGAGTCAGTTGTCCAATTATATTTTATTTGTGAATCTAATTTCTGTCTTAATTTAAACTAATTATAGTCCTGTGTAGGCTGAATCAAATTGTTTTACTTTTTAGGAGCGGACGTGCATTTTCTGTCACATTTGAGAACAGAGTCGGTTTCTGTTCATAAAAACGTTCATTTAGGGAATTCTTTTGACGTGTCTTTATTTAGCTGAGGAGCCTAGGCTTGCCGAGAGGGATTTTGAACACCAGCTGCAGTAAAGTGCAGTGGCATTCCTGGTGTGCTGTGCTGAGCGGGGATACACATCCCACAAGTGCTTCCATTGTGTAGGCTTTCGCTCTTTGGAAGGGACTCACACAGAAACTCACCAAAATACCCTTCTACACACAAAAGCCGCATCAGAGCAGTCTAGTGGTTGGATCCATCTCCCTCTTTTCCAAATTTCGTTTACATGCCTACACAGTTTCTTACGTGCCTATGTGCAAATATATATATATATGTCTACGTGCATGTGTGCATATACATACTTTAGAGAACAAAGTACGCCCTAGATGTTGAAGTTACTGGCTAGCCACGCCATCCCCAGGCATTATAGAAGCCGGTACGGGCAAACTCCGAGTCCAGATACAACAGCCTTTTACCGAAGTGCCTTTTCGCGACCCTTCCCCCGGACCCCACCCCGACCCTCCCGGCGGCGGCGGGCTCCGGGGGACGCCCCGTCCCGGCGGTGGCGGCCCCGCGGCCGGCAGCACCCTGGACAGCGGCCCCGCGTCCGCTCCCCCCGCGGGGCCGTGCGGGCGGCAGCACCCTGGACAGCGGCAGCGCCGGGGACTGGGGGCAACTCCCCGGCGGTTTGGGCTTGCCTCTTAGCGCCGGGCTATTGCGAGAGCTGACACTCGCCCCTCTTGGGCTGTGCCTCCCCGGGCTCTTTCCTGCCCTTGGTTGGGCCGTGGAGCGGGGGAAAAGCTCCGCCCGCGCCCCGCTCGGACCACCGCGCTGCAGGCGGGTAGGGGACAAGGGGACACCCCAAGGGGACAGCGTTGCGGAAAGGGGCGCGGGAGGTGTCCGGATTCAAGGCTTCTCGACCAAACTGTTGCGTTCAGGGATGGGTATCCTCCCCCGCCGTCGGGCTGAGCTTTGGGGGCACCCACCCACCCGCTCAGTGGTGGCCGTCCTCGCCGCCGGCCGGCTGTGCCGCCGTCGGTACGCCCGGGGAAGGGGCCGGAGAGCGCGGCAGGGGCGGGCACTGCGCGGGGGCGGCGGCTCATACCTGCACCCGAGACTCGGTGAGGCCGATGCGCAAGGCCAGCTCTTCCCGCATGAAGATGTCCGGGTAGTGGGTCTTGGCGAAGCTCCTCTCCAGCTCGTTGAGCTGCGCCGGCGTGAAGCGGGTGCGGTGCCGCTTCTGCTTCTGCTGCCCCTGCTGCTGCCCAGCCTGGCTGGGGTTCTGGCCGCCCTGCTGGCCTTGCTGCTTGTCGGGGTCTTTGGCGCTGACGGCTAAGGAGCTGGGGTTGGATCCCACCGTGGTGATGTCCTCCCCCGGCAGCAGGGTGGTCCCTTCCACCGTGTCCGAGTTGGGAGCCATGTCTCCCGGGTGTCCCCCCGGATCCGAGCCCCCTACGCCCAGCCGACACTTCACCGCCTCCCGGTGTCCCAGCAGCTCGGCCGCATCTTTCATCCCTGCGGAAGCAAAGGAGCCGCGGTCACTCCCCTGCAGCAGGGCATGTATCCTTCAGAGCCGCTTTCCACCGCACCGAGCCGGTGAGAGGCATCCAGCCACCGCCACCGCGTCAACTCCGCCGCCCCCCGCCGCCCCCCGGCCGCCCGCCAGCCCCGCAGCCCAGCTCGGCTCCGCGGCGCGCAGAGCCCCCGGCCCGGCGCAACCCAAGCGGGGGAGAGAAAACTTTACACCGAGCGGCTCCTCTTCCTGTTTAAATAACCAGCTCCCTCCCGGGGCTCCCCTTGCGAGACCAAGGACAGGGAAGCGGGGGAGGGCAAGTTTTGCCGGGTTCAGCTTGGGTTTTCCAGCGGGGCTGATAAAAGAAAGAGACGGAGAGAAAGAAATAACACTCGAGCCGCCCTGCTGCCGGGAGCTTTACCTCCCTGACAGATGTGCAGGGACCGCGGTCACCCTGGCCGATCTTTCCCTTCTCCTCCCTCCTCTCCTCTAAACAAAGGTGTGAATAACCATAAATAGGTAGAAACATCTATTTATCTTTTTTCTTTAAAAAAAAAAAAATAAAGGAAAAGAACTAGAGAGGAAAGCGAACAGGCGAGAAGGAAAAGGACACCCAAACCTCCTCCGTAAATACCATCGAGCTCATCTGTCCTAAAATAATAATAATAATCATCATCATAGTAATAATGTGTAGGTATGTATATAAAAACAGGGGAGAGAGAAATTAAATGGTCCACAACTCGCTGTAGATCTACACACTCCGTAGGTCTCCCTCTCTTTTTTTTTTTTTTAATGTTAAATCAAATTAAACTTTAATACAGTACAATTACTTTTAAAGGAATTAGCCCATTTAGATCGCATTAAGGTAAAATAAGGAACAAATTGTCAATTTCCTGCCCCGGCTTTCTCCCTGCTCGCCGCCGCCGCCGCCGCCGGTGCAGCGGCCGCGGGGCGGGGGGGTGCTGGGGGAAACTCACCGAGACGGGCGTCCAGGAGGTCGGCGTGAGACAGCATCGCGCACCGCTCCAGGGCGAAGGCTGTTCCCCCCCAAATTTTAGCGGCCTTAAGTTATTTAAAATAGA